TACTACTACTACTACTACTACTACTACTACTAAACCCTAAACCCTAAACCCTAAACCCTAAACCCTAAACCCTAAACCCTAAACCCTAAACCCTAAACCCTAAACCCTAAACCCTAAACCAGTTACTACTACTACCACCACTACTCCTGCTCCTGCTCCTGTCCCTGCCCCTGCGCCTGCTCCGGCTCCTCCTACTGCTCCCGCTCCTGCAGCTGCTGCTGCTAGTGCCGTGTTCGTGCCAGGGCTACTAATTACTATAAGGGGCTTCATGATTAGAATAGGGTTTGGGGGTTTAGTCTACTATAATTAGAAAAAAGGAACCCCCAAAATCCTATCCTGATTATTAAGGCTCCTACATGACCCTCACCGTATTTGATGGCAACGGCATGCAGCCAAGTTGGCCCGAAAGCGACCCTGGCTACTCATTTTGAGCGCCGCGAGTTAGGCGGTGTTTAGAGGGCTTGCTGAGAGATCGAGCCATGCCGCGCGACCAGATCGGAGAGACTCGGGCCGCGCTCAAATTCACAAGAATCTGCAAGTACTGGCAGACAAAGGGGAGATGTCATCTGGGGGACTTATGCACCTACGCACATTCCTACGATGAGCTGCGGATCCAGCCGGATTTGGCTGCCACAGCTCTGTGCACCAGGTTCAAGAGAAAGGGCTTCTGCAAGAATGGAAATGCCTGCAGGTATGCTCATGGACAGTCCGAGCTGCGAAGATTGCCCGACACCAGCAGGGTTTACCACGAAACCCCGAAGCAGCAGGAGGCGAGGGCCGGCCAAATCCATACCCCTAGACGTTCAAACCCCCAACCCCAAACCCTAGACCCTAAACACCAAAACCCTAAAGCCCTAAGCCAAAAAGCACCAAAACCCTAAAACACCAAAGCCCAAACCCCAAACACCAAAGTCCAAAAATTCTAAGACCCGACACCGAGGAGATAGAGCCAGCCATGTTTCATTATATGATGGCCCAGCGAATGGCACATGCTCACATCGCGAATAGCCCAGTGCCTCGGTACAGGTTCAGGGTTTTGGGCTTAGGAAACGGTTGTGTGGGTTTAGGGTTTCGGTTTTATAGGGTTTAGGGCTTATATCTTATCAATGTTTGTAAGGATTGAGGTTGTAGGGTTTAGGGTTTAGGGTATTTGGGGCTTAGAGCGTCTAGGGTCTATATGGTTAAGGGGTCTTGGAGTTTAGGGTCTGGGGGGGTCAGGGTTGGGGACTTACTGAAGGGGTTTAGGGTTAATAGCTTGATTTTGCTGCTTGGTTCATTTTAGCGATATATGTTGCATAACATAGCTTATTGATCAAACTTCCATGTCATCGGTATATCGTAAGTAGTTCCGGCAAGCTGCTGTAACATATGCGATATGCATGTAGTTGGATAGCAATGTAGGTAGAAAGATGGATGGAAAGATCGTTAGACAAATAGACAGCTGGGTAGGTAGGCAGGTAGGTAGGTAGGTAGGTAGGTAGGCAGGCAGGTAGGTAGGTAGGTAGAGCCATCGAAACAGACAGACCGACCGACCGACAGACCGACAGACCGACAGACCGACAAACCGACAGACCGACAAACCGACAGACCGACAGACCGACAGACCGATAGATAGTTAGATAGATACATAGATAGATAGATATATAGATAGGTAGATAGATAGATAGATAGTTAGACAGATAGATAGATAGATAGCAAGATAACAGATAGATAGATCGCAAGTTTCAGCTGAAGTGTTCGCAATATCCACACACAGTGAAGACTATGCATTCCTGATGATGGTATCTTCGAAGTTGCTGTCCAAGGTGCTCACGGTGGAGACCAAGTCCCACACCGTTTTGCCGAATTCCATGGCCCCTGGGTTTAGGGTTTAAGGTTTAGGGTTTAGGGTTTAGGGTTCCTGGCGCGAGTACCAAGGCTGCTTCCGCGGGCCCTGCCGGTGCAGACTCCAAATTGCAGGACGAGCCTGAGTTCCTCAAGGCAACTTGCCTGCGGACTTGATGTGCTTTGCTAAACCCTAAACCCTAAAACGTAAAAGGGATCATACTCGACTGAAGGTTGGGGTTGAGGGTTTAAGTCTTTTCGGTTTCGTGTTCTGTAGCATTCGTTGGAGAGTTTGTTCCCTAGAGCTTTGATAAATATTCCTCAGCAAAACAGGCCATGATGCGAGATCTCATATTCGAAGAGCCCGAACAGAATTCGCCCCGGTATGCTCCACCCGTGGCAGACAAGAATGTTTGCCCGATGTGGGTGACACAGACAGAGATGGTAACCTTGCCTGCCGTGAGCCACGTGGGCGAATATTTTGCATGATTTAGGCATTCGTGGGAGAGGAGGAAGGCCACCATAACATGGTTCTATACTGATATAGAGTGGGGTCTCTGCACCCTACGCTTAAAAAATAGACCGTAGACCGTACATCTAGGGCAAAACACACCTACCATGTAGCCCATCTGCCTCTCGCTATAGCCTTAGCCGCGGACTGCTGTTTCAGTTCTTGATCGGAAAACGGCACGATTGTCTTCTACCTAGCCCCCCCCGGGCAACCCGTATTGACAGCCTAAATATACGTACTATCAACGACCTGTACCAGAATTGCCGTTTCCTGCAGGGTAGCATGGAGAGGGGGGGGTGGCGGGTAGGATTCCCGACCGCAATACCGGGGCCCGCCGGGGCCCAAAAGATTGGTACGACTATTCCTTAGGGGTCCTTATTTATTATCATATAGACTAGACCCTAAACCCTAAGCCCTAAGCCGTGTAGAATACACCGCAACCCTTTTTCTTCGTTCTCATACAGACTTGAAGATCCCCCAACCCTTGTTCTAATTATGCAGGCCCATCTGGCATATGATTTTGTATCCACGGTGCTTGCAGCCAGAGGCCGCAAGTGATCATGGGGGTGCTTCGAATCCAGTGCCGTTGCCTCGTTTTCCATGTTGACGAAGGTTTCGGTTGAGGGATCAGGGTTCGGAATTCACCAGAGATCCGATTTAGGGCGTAGAGTTTAGCGTTCAGGTTTTAGGCATCAGGGCCTTAAGGTTTGGGATTGTCAACTCTAAACCCTAAACCCCTAAAGCCCTAGACCCTTAAACCCAAAATTCAAAACCCGAAACTCTAAACCCTAAGCCCTAAACCCTAAACCCCTAAACCCTAAAGCCGTAAGCCCCTAAACCCCTAAACCCTAAACCCCTCAACCCTAAACAGAATGAGAAGTCGACCTGACAGAAGTATGAAGCTGTCGATTCAGGGCCTGGAGCTTCGGGTGTGTAGAAGCTGCGTTTAGGGGGTTTAGGGGTTTAGGG